ACCTAGTAAAAAAAAATTACATAGCCTAAAAATTTCTACCCTAGTTTTGGGGGATTAGGCGGCAAATCCAAATATGAGCTCCTTCGATTCTTCAAGAAAATATGTGGCTTCCTCCAGTTTTTCAAGCGAGATAATGTTTTTATATGGGCACTAATTGGCAATGGCACCTTTTTGTTGAGTTCGGAGCCAAAAGGACAACATTTTTTCTTTAAAAAACAAAAACGGCACATAAAAAAAACCAAAAGGGCAAAATCGCTCCTGACGGAGCGATTTTGTTCTGACAAAAATTGACGTCATTCCGCTCAAAGAAATAAAAATCAGCTGCCTTCGCAAAGATTTTCTCAAAAGAATATTTTTTCTTTAAAATCGCTGCTATAGCAGCATTTTTATATAAAAATAAAATTAAAAGTAAAATCGCAGCAATTTTGTTTAATATTTTTTTTAAAAAAAAGTTCGATTTTGTTTAAGAAATTAAATTTTAAAAAATAAAAAATCCTACCCTTGCAGAGAATTTAATAAAAATTAAAAGTGAAGCCAGCAATTTTCATAAAAAGCTTTGTTTAAAAAAATCTTTACCCTTTCAGTGATTTAAATGAAAATTAAAAAAAAAAATTAAAACTGAAAACCGCTGCCTCGGCAACGATTTTTTCTTTAAAAAACTTGTTTTTTTTTTAAATGGCTGCCGCCGGAAATTTATGTAATTTAAAACTTGTTCTTTATGTTTTTTTTTTTTTAATTCCTTAACAAAAATAGTTTTTTTTTTTAAATATAAAAACGCTGCTGTAGCAGTGATTTTAAAGAAATAATGATTTTTTTTTTGAGAAAATCGCTGCTAAGGCAGCGATTTTTTATTTCTTTTAACGGAACGTACGTCAATTTTTTTGTCAGAAGAAAATTGCTCCGTCAGGAGTGATTTTTGCCCTTTTTGGTTAATTTTTTTTTTGATGTGCCCTTTTTTGTTTTTTTGAAGGAAAAAAATGACCCTTTTTGACTTCGGACTCCCTTTTTGTTGATATTTTAATTCATTAGAGTAATAAGGTAACCATATTGTCAAACTACAAAGGATATAATGTTCTTAAAAAATTAAAAAAAATGTTAATAATAAAAAAAGAATTAAAAAATGTTAATAATAAAAAAGGAATTAAAAAATATTAATAATAAAAAAGGAATAATGTGACATGGCATCCTATTAGGAGAGAAATAATGTTTTTTTTGTGGCAATTATATTTTGGGAAAAAGAGGTAAAGTTAGGTGATATTGTGGTCCTAAAACAAACATAAGTGATATTCTTATGTAATTTCTCAAACATGGGTGACTGTCTAGGAAAATTACTCTAAACTCAATCAAAAGATGATTTTTAAACCCCTATTATGTGTGTAGCCCACTCTCCCTTAAATGGATGACATGTCAAATCCATGTCACATAGATTAATAACACGTCATAGTTATCTTCATTAACTATTTAAAAAAATTATTAATCAAAATATTAAATAAAAGGTAAAATAATCTTTAAAGTAAAATTCTTGTTTCTCTCATCTTCCTCCAACTTATGTCTTCCGTCCACCTCTCCCGACCAACAACCACCATCACCTACACCCTCATAGTCTCTTTTTCTTCAATTTAAACTTGTCTTCATACAAAAACAAAAGAAAGAAGAGGGACATTGAAAATGAAAGTCTTGAAAAAAATAATCTTGAATCTTAAATTAGATCTAAATTTATCTTCCTTTGTTTCCTTTTCTTTTCTTCCTTTGTAAGCCGTTTGAAAATTTTACTCTATAATGGTGGTATTTGGTGAAATTAAAATGAAAAAGAAAAAAAAAGCATTGGGTCTACTAATAGGGTGAGGGTGACTGAAAAAGGGAGTTGAGGCAAAGATGGAATGTGGGATAGCTGAAGCCTGAAAAAGGGGGTTGGGGCGGATATGAGGTTGGGGATGGCTGAAAAAGTGGGTTAGGGCAGATATGGGGGTAGGGATGGCTTTGGGGATGTCTAATAAAGGGGATTAGGGTAAATATGGGGGTGATGGATGGCTGATAAAGGGGGTTTGGGCAGATATCGGGATGAGGAATGGCTGGAAACGGGGATTGGGGTGGCGGAGTGGGCTGATAAAGGGGGTTTGGGCAGATATCGTGATGAGGAATGGCTGAAAACGGGGATTGGGGTGGCGGGGGTGGGAAAAGAAGATTATTTTTTAAAAAAAATATTATTTTATATTTTTAAAATTTAAATATGTTCTTCACTTGCCTTTATATGCGTGTGGTTACATTCTCTCGCCAACTCATTCATCTTAATGCCACATAACATGGTAAATGGTCAGAGGGGTTTGATATATTGTGTTTTAATGAGTTTAAGAGTTTAATTGATAAATGGTTAATAAGTAGAAGAGTCCATAATACAAACTCATACAAGTATAGGGGTCCATCAGATCATTTCACCTATATTAATTAATAAACATATGTTCTTAATTTATATTATAAAAAAACAATTGATTTATATTTTTTAATGTAGTATATTTTAATTAAATTAATCATAAAAACTAAAAGTACATCATTTCTATGAACATAATGAAATGCATGTTGGACAAAAAGATCCATATTATAAATATAATGTCATAAATTATAAAACATTTGACAAAAAGATAATCTATCAAGTCTAACTTTAAAAAACAGCTTGTAATGTAAAATATCGAGTCAATACTCCTAAAACAAATTAAATTGAAAATATAACATAAGTTCTAAATAAAAAAATAAAAAAAATTGACATAATACTCTTCTGTCAAATTTCAACTGAACATACATAAATATGATTTAGAAGAAAAGGAAAATTTAAGTCCATAACTTTATTCAATAATGAATTCAACTTTAATTAAAAAATTTAGATTATACTAATGATTTTTTTAGAAGATACAAAAAATTGCATAGAATCACATGAAGTAAAGGTTGAGAATAAGAAGGAAATGAAATATAAAAAAATATTTTTAAAAATATTAGAAAATAAAAACCAAAAAAATATTAAAATAATAAAAATAAAAAATACATTAAAATGAAAAAATTAAAACAAAAATAAAAGGAAGAAATTAAAAAGTAATCAGCTTGTAATTACACCGTGTAATCATCATCAATTCACAACCTTCCTTGTGAATTGAAGAGTGTAATTACACCCTGCCAATTACACTCAATTACCTGCTGACCAGGTAATTACATGCCCAACAAAACATGACAAATAATGTAATTGCACCAATTACACCAAATCCAATTAGCAGGGTGGGCCTTTCCAAACATGACGTTAATCTTCTGAGGTCCTTAAATCTCTCCCACCTTTTGTGTTACTGAAGAGTTCTTCCGTATTGTTGAAAATCATTTGATAATTGAAATTAGTATAATTATTAGGATAACAATTACGTAATCTAATAATTATGTGATGGGAAAAGGGTGATATACCTTTTAACTTTGCTAGTTAGAGTTGATAATTCCTCATTAAAAAAGTGACTCATATATATCCGTACTGATACACAAATGAGCAATGGCTTACATATATCTTTTCTTCTAACGAAAGTGAATTAAAAAAAAAATGCATTTAGAGGTATATTTGATCCTTCTCAAACGTTTCTTCTTTTGAGTATTTTTATTCATAGATTAATTTGAATTTATTATTTTGATGGTCAAATTTATTTTTTCACTTATTCTCTTGTAAAATTTATTATAGAGGCTCCAAATATTTTTTTGCAGATATAAAAACTAAAAATATAACCGTAAAAACTTTTTAATCTTTTCCGTTTACACTTCTTTCATTTTTATCTCTTTTATTTTTACACTAAAGAATGAAAAAAACCCTCAAATAATAGTAATAATCGAAGTAGTCAAAAAATAATTTGTATGTGAAAAAGATCAAATACATGATTTTTTAAAAAAGAAATAAATTTAAATTTTTTTTTTTACTTTTGTAGTGAAAGGGGTATATGTGAGCTACTTTTGTAACAATAGAGGTATATGTGAGTCATTATTATAACAGTAAGAATATATGTGAGTTACTTTTATAATAATAGGGATGTATGTGAGCCACTATAATAACAGTAAGATTATATGTGAACTACTTTTGTAATAAGAGTATATCTACTCTAAATAACAAAGTTGAAATCCCTTACTCTGTCTCTCCTTCTAATTCTTTGATCTCGTCTATCGTAGTCCTCTCTCCCACGTTCAAAAAAGATTCAAGTTAATTATTCGAAGTTTGAACTCTAGAAGCTTAGTGTATACATTTTGGAACTTTTGATGCAATTTTAATGACAATTAAGAAAATAAGAAGTTTCACTTTGAGATTATTAGCTATATAAAAAGAGTTCTTTACTGTCAAAATTAACAATAGATCAACCACAAAAAAAAATCATCTCTAAAATCTTTTTTTTAAAAAGAAACTTAAATATATAAAGAGTTTCCACATGTAATATAGCTTGGATTATTTCAACGGTGTATATATGTTGCTCATTACTTCAGTGATGTTGATGAAATAAAATATGCATGAATGGGAAACCAAGAAAATGAAATCCTTGTATTTTTGGTAAACAAGTTCATCATTTAGGTAGAACAATAAATGTAGATTGTAGAGTCTAAGTTACTTTCTACTACTATTTATTTTATTAAAAACTTAAATATTGAAAAAGTAAAATTATACTTGAGAGTTTACCTACTATAGCTTTAAATTACATGATCGTGTAAAAAATATCTTACATCATCCGTAGATATTAGTTAAAGATAAGCTAAAATATAAGATAAGATAAGATTACGTAGAGAGTACCAAAAATGTAGATATACCACTAGTTACATTAATTTGTTATCATTTTAAAGGCCCTCCTATTTTCATTCATGTCAACCAATTTTCTATGGTAATTCTAACTCTCCTCCCTCCCTTAACTAATTGTTCATCATACTCTTCCTCTTCCTTTCTATTCATTCCTCCCTTTTACAATTTGGTCAATTAATTCATAACTTTGAATAAAACATGGAATATTTATTCCTTTCTTTCCTCTTTCTATTCACCCTCACTTTAGCACAATCTATTAATAATGCTAATATAAATTCATCCCCAAATATTGCACCAAACATGCAACCCACAACTTCTCCAAAAGAAAATGCAAATTCACCAACTAGTCATTCTGCATACCCTCTTGGATATGAAAATGAAAATGCACCATCACAATCACAATCACAATCACAATTTCCGCCTATCATCCCTCTTGATAAAATTTCTGGCCTCCCATCTTCTCTTATTCCCACCAATACGCGAAAAGACGATGGTGGGAATAGTGAGACTAATAATATTATAAAGAAGATATGCGACAATACTGACTATCCTGACCTTTGCACCACAACTATCGCCCCATTTATGCGCGGAGGTATCATCAACGTACAAAATGTTCTCCAAGTGGCCATGAAACAGAGCGATGCGTTTGCCAAATTGGGATTTGCAACATTTAAAAGAGCTTCAGAATCCCCTGTTACTCCACCTAGAACTAAGAAATTGCTTAAAACTTGCCTCGATAGTTGGGATACTGTGTTGTACAATTACGAAGAAGCTTTAGAGGCTCTGCGTATTCATGACAGTGGACGTATGAACAGCATGCTCAGTGCTGCAATTACTGATATCTCTGATTGTGAAGATGCCTTTGAAGGTGTCATTACTCCTATGTCTGGGTATAGTGACAGGATGACTAAAATGACAAGTAATTGCCTAGCCATTGGTTCACAACTTGGGGATTAGACTAGACAATTACCTATCGAGTTAATGCTCAAAAACACACCTAAGTTATTACCTTTTCACGAATTTCATATCTCAACTATCTGTTCTTCTATTTATCAATCTAAACTATCACTCCATTTATATTAAAACACACTAGATGTTGAGTTGGACAAATATGTATTTCTAATCGACAACAGTCGCAAGCAGGATAATTCAACATTGAGACGTGTTATAATACAAAGAGAATGATGGTTAATTGATGGAACAATGAATATAGTTGAGGTATGAATATCCCCCAAAAAATATAATTTAGATATATTTTTACCATTAATTATTTGTTATTTACTAAACTAATTAGATATATTAGTCTAGATGGATGAGTAGGATCACTACACAAGTGATCCTTAATCACCTCTCCTAATGTATTTTACAATTTACTTATTGTGATTACGTCATCTTTTGACTTATGTGTGATTAGTGAGAAATATGTAGAAACAATCTCTTTTGCAGAAGTAGAAGGGAAAGGACTGAATATAGATAGTGACAGAGCTAAGAATCTTGGATTAAAAAGAAAATCCAAAAAATGTCACATTTAGGATATGAATATGTATTTTTCTTATATTAAGGGAATTTAAAATTTTATACATATATAAACAAATTTGTCTTTATCCAATTTCCACCAAAAACTTTCTGATACATATATTGTTATGAAATCTGTATTTTAAATTAATACTACTGATAACAAAACTTTGCAGAAACAGTAAATTTCAAAGTTTAAATCACGTAGTGAAGAACATAAATTATTTAAGAAAAAATAATGACCGTAAAACATATCAAAATCTATAACAATCGTATGAAACAGAAAGGAAAGAAAATCGAATCCACTGAATGCACAATGTTCCTTAAGGAAATTATTCTCCTTTAGTATCCGAGGTTTGAATTGGAATATATTCTCCCAGGATAGAGCAATTCTATTCACCAGTGTATTGATACTCAAAGCAATGATATCAACGAACCACTCAACGACATCAAGGTACATGAATAATAAATTTGTGCAGAAGAAGAAGAAATTCAGAAATTTTTGTAAGTAAAAAGTCTAAGGATTCACAGGTATTTATAGCCAAAAGCACTGGTTACGAAAGTTCATAATTTTTTGTAAGGGAGTTTGAAATATAAATTGTAAACATATGAAAATGCCAAAATGGATTCAACATCTATTATATTAACGTAAAAAAATTGCTTAAACCATTTATAAATAGTGTAATTTTCCGTCGAATGCATGGGAACCCTTGGCTCTTGCTAGCTCCTCCCATGTCTGCATCCATCATTTGAAATAGTGAATTCAAAATTATCATCGACGTAGACAAATATTGACTGTAGTCTTCATAACTGAAATGGTACAAAGATCAGTTAGATACAAGGATTCATTAGAATTTAGTGGTAATAAATAAATAAATTCAAGAAAATCACAAAAATAAATAAATTCAAGCATAGATAATGAAGCTAAGAGTGAAAACTTTCGCATATTATGTATGGAGAAGGGCCTAAAATGCCCCTCAACTATTTGAATTGGTAAAAAACTACCCTTCATCCACTTTTCGGCCCCCAAATATCCTTAACATCAACCTTTTGGCTAAAAAAAAATCCTTATTTCTAACGGTCCACACTTATAAGGTGGATGGAGGACAATATTGTATCAAATCTCATAGTTTGAGAGTATTTTAAGCCCTTTTTGCGTTAAAATAATTTTAAATTACTTCATAGATGAGCTCATATGATTGACTTGATTTTGGGTTTCATAGTAAATTAAAAGTAAAAAACGATTAGTCCTCTACTTTCTACACTTCCCCTCTTCTCTCTCTTCCACTATTTTTTCTTCTTGGATCTTGTCCATCATTTTAAATTTTAATTTTTTTCAACTTTTGAGAAAAAAAGGGAATAAAATAATGCCAACATTCATACAAAAATAATTAGTTCAATATAAGATGATTTAATGAAGCAACTATGGACGTATACCACATTTTTCTTTTGTGTGTACCTAAATCAATATAGAAAGAATGAGAATAATCTTTTCTACTACTCCCCACCCCACACAAACCATGATAATAATATAAATAAAATGAATATGAATATGTAAGTTTGTTTCAAGTTTGAGTTTATGATATCCTAATTAAAAATAAGGGATTAAAACAAAAGAATAAAAGGAGGGAATGAGCAAGATGAATAATTGATAGAAAATTTGTATTAATGAAAATAATAATAAGAAAATCAACTGAAAAATCAAATGGGGTGAGTATGAATTTTAGTTGAATCTCAATTATGAGTTGGGTTATAATAAATTGGGGTTGATTTAAAATAGTTCAATAGTAACATATCATGAAATTAATAACTTTTTGAAAATTATTTTCATGTGTATCGAGTCAAAATATGAATCATAAGTAATTTTTATTATTTATTTGAGAAGGGTTCAAAATTAGATTAGTTGGATTATGTAACATAATAAATAAATATTTAATGATTTTACTTTAGGAGGTTTTGTTAAAAAATAGGGCAAATAAGAACCAAACGGTTAACATCAAGGGTATTTTTGAGTCAAAAGGTTTACGTCAGGGGCATTTAGGGCTGAAAGATGGACGGAGAATAATTTTTTACCGATTCAAATAGTTGAGTGGCATTTTAAGTCCTTCTCCTTATTATATATGTCAGAATATTGAAATAACAATTCCACCAACAAAATATAAAAGCTAAGGATGAAAACAATGAATAGAAGAGCAAAAGGAAAAAATAAATAAATTTCAAGTTCTTACCTTGATATTTGAAGAATGATACAGTAAAACCTCTATAAATTAATATAGGTGGGACCATGAAATTTTATTATTTTATAGAGATATTATTTAATCGATAATTAAAATTTATTAATTTAAAGAATGATTTGAGATTTAATGAAGATTAATTTTAATTATATCAAAATTATTGTATCTTATTAATTTATGTATCATATTTATTGATTTCACATAAAAAAAATATTGTGCATAAAGTACAACGAATACATCAAAATCATTGTATCTTACTAATTTATGTATCATATTTATTGATTTCACATAAATATTAAATAATTGTCCAACCCATAATATTAAATATTGAAGCCATTTTTGGATATGGTTTAAAGAAATTTCCTATGTTGCTTATATAGTTTTTTTTCCACCATCATACATCGAATATTTTTTATAAAAATACAATGAATAATAATTGATTATTAAGAAACAATGAACATTATGTATTACTTTACAATGAATGATTGAATTCTTGAATATCTTTACAATGAATAGAGATAATTGTCCAGCCCATAATAGAAATATTGAAGGACTACAAAATGTTGAATTGTTTTTCTTGCCACCCAACATGACATCCAAAATTTAACCTTGTGATGCTGGGATAATAAGAGCTTTCAAGATGTATTATCGTAACATATTTTATCGTAGGATATTAGAAGGCTGTGAAGTGGGACAAACTGATCCAACAAAAATTAATGTTTTGGATGCTATCAATTTTGCAATCGCTGCTTGGACAACAAATGTTCAGCAAGAGACAATAGCAAAGTGTTTTCGACATTGTAAAATTAGTCTGGGGGATGTAATCTCAGAGAATTTAAATGAACCCACTTGTGAAAACGTCATTCATGAACTTGAGGTCTGATGATCTCGGTTACCACAGTAAAATGGATGTCAATAACCTGTTGGATTATCCGGGTGAAAATGATACATGTTCAGAGGTCCAGAGCTTAGAAGAAATTGTGGATACCATCGAAAAAAGCAATGTTGATGATGAAGTTGACGATGATAATATATCTTTGGAACCAGTTACGTGTAAGGATACACTTATCACATCTATTCACAATTTCACGGTGCAATTCCAAAAGACAACACCGGAGCTCTTGGATGCAATAAGAAAAGTTAGAGATGAGCTTCAACTAGATTTAAACTTTAAGAAAAAACAGAACACAATAGAGTCATATTTCTCTAAATTGTCTTAGATATATTTGTACTTTTAAAGAATTATTAATTTATAATATTAATGGGACAAGCAATGTTGATGATGAAGTTGACGATGATAATATATCTTTGGAACCAGTTACGTGTAAGGATACACTTATCACATCTATTCACAATTTCACGGTGCAATTCCAAAAGACAACACCGGAGCTCTTGGATGCAATAAGAAAAGTTAGAGATGAGCTTCAACTAGATTTAAACTTTAAGAAAAAACAGAACACAATAGAGTCATATTTCTCTAAATTGTCTTAGATATATTTGTACTTTTAAAGAATTATTAATTTATGATATTAATAGGACCATATATTTATATAGGGGTCTTCTGAAAATATATTATCTTATTATCTTATCGAAATTGATGATTTTTTCCATTGGCCCAAGTCGGAACCGGAGGAAAATATTATTTTAGAAGATTATTAATTTACCGAATATTAATTTAGAGAGGTTTTACTGTATCTTGAAAAACAAGAGTGAAAGCTTAGTCTTTATAATTTCAAGCTTAATAGGCTCAAAGGGCTAATTATGGATAATGAAAGGGCAGATATCAAATAATAGTCAAGAATTGGCTAACAAGACTTGATTCTTTTCAAAATACATCTATTTCTTATAGAATAATGTTAATAGTTTTATATAACTGTTGCCTCATTTGAACAAGTTTTTCGAAACTAAAATTGATAAAATTTTATCTAAGATCAACAATATCTCAAGAGATTGAATGGATTAGTTATATTATCAATTGAAAAAAGATTTCTTTAAAATAAATCAATTACAAAACAATAATTAATGACTTGACTTTTTAAAAGAGCTAGATTAAATAAAAGTATATATACTGATCTTTCTTTTGTTTAAAATAAATAAATAATAATATTAGGGTCACTCTCTAAAGTTTGGCTTTTAGGCCCCGCTCTTGTTGAGTCGGGTAGTTGTGTCATCTATTATTCCTCTATTATTATTGGTATGATAACTTGCAAATATATCTAGCACATCTATCCTTTTGTCCTTTTGCTACATCATTGAGGTACAAATTCTTTGGGGAAACTACATAAATGGGTCATACAATTCAAAATAATTACATCTTGAGAAAAGAAAATTCATGATTTCCTATTAAAAACTGCTGCTTCTCTTTTTCTTCCTCTGTCAGCAAAATCTGAGAAAACTTCAGCAAATATTGTTCAACTTGTATGACCGTTTTGTGGATCAAGGTATAATCATAATTAAACTTAAAATTGTTATAATAATATTCTGTTGGTCAACTTTTGAACATTTTAATTAGGAGACAAGGGCGTGTTATGCAAGCGAGAAGGCATGTACTATATGTGGCTCTTGATGATAAAATAAATGAAAAAACACATGATGATTAAGATGGTAAACTTTCTTAAAATTGTTTTTGCATTCATATAGTTAGTTTTATTATCGACTTAGAAAGTAAAATGAATAACTTTTATTTATATCAAATTTCCATTTGTTGACTATGCTTTAGGAAAAGAAAGATAAGGAAATAGAAAAGCAAGTTTTTGCTTCTGTCTAAATAAATATGCAAGGCTATAGATGAAGAACACTTCCATGGAACTTTTATAATTAAAAAAGATAACTTAGGAAAAGAAATAGATTAAATATTAGAAGTAGCTTCTTAGGGAACATGGATTTAAATTTTAATCATAAACCTCAGAAATATCCAGCAATGAATCACATAACTCTAATCATCACATTGAGTTATATATTCTTGGTACAAAAAGAAAGCTAATTTTTTCTTGGTTAAGACTTTGTTGGTATCTCCTTACAGATAGAGATGTATAGCAAATCAGAAGTTTTGGTTAGCTGATGCAATGTGGTTTCGGACTGTATCTATTTGAAGTAGACTCTTTTATTCGGCTACTAGCCGGCTGCTGCCAAATAAGGCATGAAATGAGTGAGCTATTGTCCTTGTTTTTGCTGTCCTATCTTCTATTTTTTCCTTTTTTCTTGTTTGGTACCTTATATATGATTAGATGGAAAAGGAATATGAAAATAGCACAAGTTTTTGTCTTCATGGTCTGAATAAAATGAGCTTCATTCTCTAATGAGGATAGATTTAGAAAACCATTTATACTGAAGATTTGTCAAAAGGAAGAACGGGGCATCTTTAAGAGTTTTTCGCCATGGATTCAAGTCTTGTAAATAAAGGAAAGGATCAAATTCAAAGGCCTCGTTGTGCTGAAGAAAAGAAGGAAAGCTCTTGTCTTCCGTCAGCATCATGCACAATTCTGCAAAAGCATTATTGTGGTGGAGAAATAAGAGAGAAGCCCCATGATATTCCATCCAGCAACACTTCTGGATCTCATGCACCACCAACAGTAAGCATATTTGAAATGGCGCGAGCACAATTACTTCAGCAGACCTCCAAGAAAGAGGATAGTTCCTCCTTTACTTCTAACACGTGTTGTGGTCTGTATCCTCGAGCTTTAAAAGATTTTGAGATTGCTCTTCTACTTCAAGACTCTGCTGAAATGTTTTCCAAGAGACACTATGATCGTGCAACGGAGTTATTAAGATTGTGTAACTTGTCTGCTTCTCCTTCAGGTACTCCTGTTCAAAGAGTTGTGTATTACTTCTGTGAAGCTCTTCGAAAGAGAATTGATAAGGAGAAGGGAACATTATCACTTAATAGACCTGAAGGTTGGGAAGAGAAACCATTTGATTTGGACAAGGTTCTGCAGAATCCAAAGCCCTTTGCAGTTGTATGTTATCAATCATCACCTTTCTTCCAAGTGCCGCAATTTGCTGGAATTCAAGCCATCATAGATAATGTCAAGTCAGCAAAGAGAATTCATTTGATCGATTTCGGAGTCAAAATTGGTTCACACTGGGCAGTCCTCATGCAAGCTCTTGATAATGTAGGTGACTGTCCATTTGAGCTTCTCAAGATAACCGCTGTTGCAACATCAAAACAGATGGTTGAAGAAATAGGACAGAGATTGTCATCTTTTGCTGCTGAAAACATTAAGTTTCCCTTTTCCTTCAAGGCAGTAGTGTCGGAAATGAAGGACCTCAGTAAAGATCTCTTTGAGTTAGATACTAATGAAGTTGTGGCAGTTTACTCAGAGTATAGTCTTGGGGGCATGTTAGCATGGCCCAATCACCTGGAATCTGTTCTAAGATTAATTAAAAGCCTTAATCCTTGTGTAATGGTTGTCATTGACTCCGAGGCAAACACTAACGCGCCAATTTTTATGGACCGTTTTAATGAAGCACTATTTCTGTATGGTGCATTCTTTGACTACTTGGATGTTTGCATGGAACGAAACAATCATTACCGAATGACATTTGAAGGACTTATTTTGAGGAATATCATTCAAAATATAATCACTTGTGAAGGAAATGAGAGGACTTTCCGCAATGTAAGACTTGAAGTATGGAGAGATCTGTTTGAAAAGTTTGGTATCAAAGAAACAGAATTGGGCGAATCATCCTTGTACCAGGCAAATCTAATGGCCGATAGGTGTGGTCATGGTTTTTCTACTCTGGATATGAATGGAAAGGGCCTTCTAATTAAATGGAAGGGAAGTCCAATAATATTTGCTTCAGCCTGGAAGTTTTCACCATGAATGAAAGATGCCCCTACTTGGTGGGTGTGGCACGGAGCCTATCGATGTATATAAAGAATCAAATGGAAACAACTCATCTTGTTTTAAGAACCTTTTGATCATAAACTGCTGTAACCTGAAACACTAAGTTATCAAAGACTTTATACTTCTTCCATTTCAATTTGGTTGCCTTACTTCCCTTTTTAGTCCATTTGAATAAAGAATGCTTTTTCCTTTTTCGGTAACTTTTTATTTCAACTTTCCACGTGACAGGTTTAAGACCAAGAGATTCAAGTCTTCTTTAATTTCTCAAACTTCGTGCCAAGTCAAAATCACACAAATAAATTGAAATGGAGGGAGTATTTGTTTAATTTCATTTGTATTGCATGCATTGCTTCTCTGCCTGCCTTAGGACAACATTTTATCTAATTCTCATTTCTTTAGTTCAATTCCATCTATTAAAATTTATTCCATAATTTTTCCATTCAGTTCCTTATGCAGCAATCTTTGATATCTTAAAAACTTGCATAGGGAGAAATAATCAGTACAGCATTCTAACTGAAACAGTTATTCTAGAAAAAAGTCATTCATAATCTGATCGCATCTGAACGAGAAGAGAGGTTTTTTTCACTTTGCAAGGCTGAGAGAATGGAGGACCTTATTTGCAAAATGACATATTAGTAAAACAGAATTGAGCAGTTCATGCTTATACGGCACAAAATTTAATATATTGGGATTTGCTTGCTGCAGTTCTTGCACTCTTGATATGGATGGAAATGGAATTATCATTAAATGGAAAGGAACCCCGAATACCTTTGTTTCAGTCTGGAAGTTTGACCATGATAGAAGATGCCCTGATATGGAGAGGGGTGTACTGATGAAGCAAAACAGTCATGAGATGAAGATAAAATAGCTTGTAATCCTACTTCTTAATCTCCTTTTTATTTAGTAGGTACTGCATCGCCTATCACGATTGTAGCTTTTCAATCATGCTTGATCTATAGCTCTATGGACCTCCAATAATATCTTAAATAGGTCATGTATCTCTTATGATGCTTGTACATTTGCCAATTGCCCATTCATTCTTGTGTAGCAGATGAATGGACCTGCAATACGCTTCTTTTTATGTATGAAACACATGAGAAAAATATACACATGAAAATCCAACCTTCCTGAACAACCTTACTTTCATGCCTTAATATGGCCCTGAGAATGGAAAAAGAACACACTTTTATTGTTTCATCCACACAACCTACAAGTGTTTGGGAAGGAGGAATTGCTCCCAAAAAGGAATCTATTGATTCTCTCCCAATAGGCTGGACAGTAGGTGGGATGATTTACTTCACGGCCTGTGTGGAGGACATAAGACCAGAAGTCTCAAGGATGTTTTGTAGAGCCCCTCGTCCTCACATCCAGGTCAATACTTATGCGACAAGGAATTTCTCTACCTTAAGACCGTTAGAGTTACTGCCGCTGTTTACCAGGGCTTCCATTCAAAGCTCAAGCATATTGAAAAGCTTCAAATGTCTTCTTTTTGTTTTCCTATCGTATGCATCCTCTATCTGTGTCAACTCTCTTTCTTTTGTCCCTTCACAGTGTTATCTAGGAGATCAAGACAGTTTGTTTAGGTTACCATGTAAATTGTAGATCCAACATTTGTTTAGCCTTTCTTTATCAAAATGAGCACAATCGGTCGTCTTTTCAAGATTAGATAGAGCCATAGATAGATTTTCCTAAGTAACTACACTCCGTTTATAATCTAAAATTTAATTCGAGTCTTCTTGTTAGAATTTCAATCAGAGAACAGAAGAAACTGTTGTAAGAAATCTATTGTAAGAGTTAATTTTGTCCTGTAGAATGAAAGCCTTGTTCTTGGATTACACATTGTCTTATATGAATCTGACATCCTTTTATTTCAAGATGGCAACAGCCAAGAGGACAATTGTGGGCATTTTCATTATCTGTTTTTAAAAAGAAAACCTCCAAGGTATCGCCGTCCTATGGATTATTTTCAATATTGTCATTGTCCTATTCTTTGACCACATCTGTTTGGACTGTTGTCCTTTCTTCTGGTAACAGCCTTTAACTAATGATTTAACTAAAATAATATGACATGATAGGGAGAAATTCTCTGTCTCAAGTAATTAATATAATGTTGTAGCGATTAACACTATTGACAAAGATGAGATTCATGCTGAAGCAGTGAAAGATGCAGAAAATTTTGATGTTCCAAATAAGGAAAACACCCTCCAGGAATTCTGAGGTACAATAGTAAGGGAAAGGTGAATGAGATGAATTTAGATATGCCAAGTCACATTTCTGACCACTCTCCGGTTCTATCGACAACAACCATCATGAAAATTGCCAAAGAGCAATTAAAACTTTATACCTCACAGAATCATGATGCTTATTCCATTATTTTTAGTCCCTTGATTGAGGATTTGGGCCTTTCTCCTCAAGTTACAGAGGAAGTGGAGCTCGTTCTACTGCTTCTAGTTTCCGCTGAAATGCTAGCCAATCGACAATTAGATTGTGCAAGAAAGTTGTTGAACTTGTGCATCAACTTTTCTCTTTCAGCAGGTAATCCAGTTCAAAGAGCTGTCTATTATTTTGCTGAATCTCTTCGGAAGAGGATCGATAAAGGGATAGGAATACCAACTATAGCATCAAACATTGATACAGTGAATCCAAATATTATGGAAGAGGTTCTCATGGATCCACGAACCGATGTTATTGAGACTGAACAAATGCTTCCCTTCCGCAAAGTAACTCAATTTACTGGAATTCAAGCCATCTTGGACAGTGTTAAATCATTCAAGAGGATTCATTTGATTGATCTTGGGATTAAAACCGGATCACAATGGACAATCCTAATGCAAGCTCTGGTTGGTAATGGTGAATGTCCACCGGAACATCTCAAGATAACAGCGGTTGGAACCTCTTTGACTCGAATGCAAGAGGTAGGGAACAGATTGACATCTTTTGCAGACACCTTACATATACCTTTTTCCTTCAAAACAGTTGTATCTGACTTGAGACATATCAGGAAGGATTTATTTGAGTCAAAGGCTGGTGAAGTTGTGGCAATCTATTCTGACTCGCGTCTTTGGACCTTGTTAGCATGGCCTAATCACTTGGAATCTCTTATACAAGTTTGCAAAAGTTTGGATCCATGTGTAATGGTGGTAACTGAAATAGAGGCAAATACTAATACACCAATTTTCATCGATCGTTTCAATGAAGCATTGTTTTACTACAGTGCTATCTTTGATAGTCTTGAAACTTGCATAGGGTGGAACCATCAGTACAGAGCAGTAGCTCAAGGAGTATATATAGGAAGGATTATTGAAAATGTAATCACATCCGAGGGAGAAGAGATGGCTCATCGCCATGAGAAGCTTGGATCTTGGAGGGCCTTATTTGAAAGATTTGGTATAGAGGAAACAGAACTGAGTCACTCATCCTTGTACCAAGCAAAGTTACTGGCAGAAAAGTCTACATGCCATGGTTTTTGCAGTTTGGAAATGGATGGGAAATCCCTAATTATTAAGTGGAAGGGAACCCCAATTAAGTCACTTTCTGCATGGAAGTTCCACTAATAATAAGATAGCTTTTATTTTGTTTTTATGAGGGTGTTCCTCCTGTTTTGCTCATGTTTCTTGGTTACTGTTGAAGCGACTGTTGAAGTGTGTGACTACACTTTTTATTAGTTAATTATATACTCAACCCACCCACTCATATTCGGGCTTGATTCCTTTCCATGGGCCGAACACGTGACCTCTGCCTGATCTAATATTATGTTGAAGTGTGTGACCATTCTTATCTAAAAGTTTAACAGTTACAACGTCTAGTATACTAGGGTACCGGAAAAGAGCTAAGCCCGGAAGTCACGGAGCTCTCTTCTCTTTCAATGGCAGCAGCTAGTTTAAGTTCAATGTCAGCCGGATTTCTAAGCACTAGTGATCTTTCCTTCTCACCTGCTAACTCATAGAAAGAAATAGAGTCAATCCATGCGCCTTTCGCCCTTTCGCTTTGCACACGGGAAGACAACGACGTTCAGTTCAGTTCATGAGACCGCAACGCAGTGATGTTACCCGTTTTGGGCCTAGGTCCATACGACAAACATTGAACAATTTCTGTTGCAGAGTGAGAGAGAAACCTTGTATTGGGGAGTAGTATATATGTTTATGTGAGGTTGCCATATAGTAATAGCTAGTAAATTTGAATATAATGTTAATTATTTGTTATTCTTAGGCTAATGAAGTTAAAGAGGCCTTTATTCACATGGACGTCCATACATCAACTTGATCATTTTGTACAAAAAAAGAAGGATGAGTTTGATGATGTACAAGTTCAATATTTTTCTTTATCTTATTAAGAACTTTATCTCAATGTATTAACTCAACTATTCATCTAACTGCACCTATTTAGTATTAATTATTACTCATTTACGTTCATATTAAGTAAATTAGGTAACTCGGCCGCGCTACACGCGGTTATCAAATATTTTATTTATGTACACTATATTTATTATCAAAAATTAAAGATCTCTAATACTAATGACCTATTGAGCTTGGAGGCCATAACACCGTCTCCATTCTTAAGCCATGAGCCTTGTCCACCATGTAGAGATAATAAATCAATATAAGAGTGGTATGCATGAATATAAGTTTGTTGTATCAACACATATAAGGTAATTTTTTTTATTTTTAACTAGAAAATAAAGTAAAAATTAAAATTTTAAATATGAAAACCCTAATTTCATCGGGATGTTTCACGAACAATCGATCAATTTTTTTTTTCTAATTATATATATAAATCATTGACAATTATATACATACTAGATCTGGGAACGTGCGTTGCACGTTTATCCCAAAATACTTCATATAAATTTTATAATGCAAATAACATATTTTATCCCCTTCAAATCTTTGGTATTTACGAAAAAAATTCATTATTGTTTCGATAGGAACTACATATATCTTCCTAATAAAAAGAATATACCTTCAACTATAAAATTGACTAAAAGTGCATAAAGTAAAAATAACTAACTATTGCAGAAATTCAGTATTCAAATGAGGATACTAAAATACCACATGTTAGGCTAATGTATACAAAGCAACAAACCATGGTAAATTCTCAATAATAATAACAACACAACAATAGAAAGTTGTACAATAACAACAAACAAAAAACATAAATGTTAAACTAAACAAATAAAAAGAGACATGAGAAGAGAGCATAGAGATTTTCTCATGTTTTTCAATCCAATTGGTTTAAGTGTGTACATTATTGTGTCAAATGTCACTATTTATAGGATTGCATTAAGGAACACAAAGAGTTGTCATAAATATGATATTAATCCAGTTGAGATTATCGATGAGAGATGAGAGTTAAAAAACATAATGAATATAATTAGTGGGAGTTAAATACATTTACATAAAGAAGAGTTGATGGTAATTTATGTATACTAATATGATGATTTACTATTAATATTTATTATTAATTTATTAAACAATTTATAACATTTAAATGTAATGTAGAAATAAAACTATAATCTAAGGATAAAATATGTAAAAGAATTTAAATATATTAGATGTTTAATGGAAAATCATTTTGACTTATTATTAAAAACTTCATAGTAACTATGATTATGAAAAATCATCACTATTACTACGTGGAAGATGTAAAGATTGTTGTTTTTTTCTTGCTAATAATAACTTACAATTTAATAATGAGTATTGAATTGTAAGTCTAGTTGGAAATAAGATTGTTAATTACCATAATACCAACAGTCAAAATTCATTGAATCCCAAAGTAAATATTAAATGAAAAAAATATTATTTTAAATAATTTCAAGAAGTTATATTAATAGTTAAAGGGTATTTTCGTAATTCAACTTTTAACTTAAATTCTTCCCACTTTTTCGTATAACTAGTTCTGGACACGTGCAACACACATGTATTCCGAATTATTAAAATAAAACAGTTTACAATTTACAGATTATGAATAGGACAAATGAAGAGAGTAGAACGTTTTGTGAATATTTCCTTACAATCATACTCTAAAACCAAAGTACATACTGAGTTCTTTTATTTTTCAAAGAATTTTTAGTGATTCTTGAACTACTCTATGTGTGATTCATTATACTGACACAAGAAACTGTTATCAATTTTTTTTAAAAAAAGAAAATGATTGTAGTATTTAAATCATGACAAACATGGAAATATGATTCGACTACAAATACAGTGAAGCCGATATTATACCAATTGATCAACAATAACTTAAAAGTAGGAAGAAGTTTTTTGTGTTTTGTGCCCCTACCTAACATATATTTGTATCCTTTTCAATTACATTTATTTTTTAACGATTTGCATCCTAACATCGATATTTTCATTCAAAATCATAAAAAAGATGTATATTCTATTGTTATTTGTAACGACAAAATAGGGAACATAAATTCAAATATCCCTTAAAACTAATTGTGAGTGCTATCGTGTATTTCTTATACTACTATTTTAGTTTCTTGCTAAAAAATTATAAACAGAGCAGATATACATTTGAGTAGAGAAGAAAAACCTCGAGCGACATCGTCTTTGACGGAAGGAAAATATCAATGCAAACGATCTATTCCATCTGCAAAATTTCAAATCATTAATCAAGTTTCAAAAGAACATCCAAAAATATTTTGAGGTTCATACATTGAAAGTAAAAAAAAAAATTGGAAAAAAATTAATAAAAAATGCAGAAGAAAATGTTTTGCCCGACAATAAGAAAGATTGGAGAAAGATTATGTGATTTGACACTATGGTGTCAAATAACGAAAAGGATTAATGATTATGAATGAATAAATAGTGATATATGATTATTTATTAAGATATTAAGATTAAATTTTAAATTTTTATTTAGTGTAAGGGTAAAATGGTAATTCAACTTTTCACTTTGGAGCTTTCCACTTTTAATATATATATATGATATGATATGATGATGATTGTACATATACATACCGTTTTAAGTTTTGAAGATACTCTGATGACGAACGCAAAAACTCAAAATCAACCCATTATCAAATCGACAACATAAATGATTATCAAGATTTTTGATTTGTAAAATTTAGATACGAAGAAGAGACAAGATGAAGAAACAAGAAGAAGAAACAAAAGTTTTCAATATGATAATTTATAGATATTTTTTGGTAACTGATATGAAGTTGAAGAGACAAAATAATATTTAAAAAATTAAAGTCCCCATAAACTTTAACTTATGATTACCGTTACTAATTTCTAAAGTTAATAAGCTTTATTATTTCGTTTCTTCAAATTAATCTGTCTTTATAGGCACATAATGGAGGAGTTTCAGCAAATTGAGTTTTATTATTAACTAGTTAACCAAACAGCGCTTCGCGCGATCATATTTTTCTATCTTAATTGATATAAAAAAAATTAAGAAATTGCAATACTAAAATATGTATATGAAAAAATCAAACAGAAATTAACAATAAAAGAAAAAAAACAATAGAATTAAATTAGTTTCAAGAAAAATAAAAAGAGAATTATAATTTTTCCTTGAAACCATACAAAGACATATTTCTTTATGCGCCAATTTTATATACGTTGCTATCTAATTTTGGGGTATTTTAAATTATTTATGTTATTTCACTAATAATTTCCTTTTATAATACTATTTACGTTTATATATTTGTTTAAATATATAAATTTAGAGTTGATGTAATTTTTCTTGCTTATAATTTAAAATTTTCACAATTATTACTTTAAAGTATGAGAATATCACTTTGTTTAATTGATAAAATTAATAGCCTAAACTTTTTGTTATATATCTACACAAAAATTTCATATGACAGGCATAAAAATTAATATTTTGTGAAAAATTTACATTAAAAATTAGAAATAATAAATACACAAGAGAGCTCAAATATCAATTTTGTATAGAAACTAAATAAATTATGTAATCCAAACACTAGATAAAGTCGAAGAAGTTAAAAGCGAATACCTCTATCAATGTGTGGATGTGTTTTGATTTTCAATAAAGAATATGAAAAATTTGGACAATAAATGATAATAATTGTGACTTTTATTCTTATAAACTAGTAAAATAAATAAGAAAATAAGGAAAAATTATATTTTTTGGCTAGTGCAATATTTTCTTACTGTCAACTTTAATCACGGGTTCATCATGAAACATAATAAATATAAATGGATGTTAGAATTTTTTTTGGAGAGTTACGCCTTTCTATTTTTAAAATTTATTTAGTGAGCAATTATCTTATTCTTTAATTGACTAATTATGTAAATATTTTTTAGATTGTTGAAAATTAGATAAAAAGAGAAATCTCATAATTAGGAGAGTTAAAGGGATGGTTTAATTTTTTTTCAAGCTATTTGAAATGATATTTCATTAAACTACTCTATTTTAATAAATTTTCATTCGTTAAGGAGAAAATGAAATATTTGAGTGATTAATATTTTTGCCTTTAAATTTGCAATAAATAATAGGAATAAGTAGAGTAGTAAAATTTGAGGTATTTAAATTCTTATAATAAATAATAGAAATTAATGAAGGGAATAGTAATTGACACATT